TATAATTATTTAAATTAATTAAAAAAGGCCCCTAATAAAAGGTCCTAAACGTATTTAATTCAACTCTGATATGTGCATATCCTTTTAAATCTAACTCAGTCATTGTGTTTGTGTTTTTCAGAAACATTGATCTTAGAGGTGGAGAAGATGATGGACATGAAAGAAGACACCTGCTCAGAAGTTGTGAATGTGGATCCAGCCGCAGCCAGTGATTCGCCACCAAACAAATACCCTCGCCTTCTGTCCCGCTACAAGGCATACAAAAAGCACAGCTCAGACCAGGATTCAAGCATACACACACAGATAAGGAAATACTTTGATGCCATCCGTGACTTTGACACAGACAATGCACTTGTCTTCTGGGCAAAAAACCACACTAGATTTCCACAACTGCACAATTTGGCAATGAAGGTCCTATCAGTCCCTGCCTCCTCTGCACCAGTGGAAAGGGTTTTCAGTCGAGGAGGCATTTTAATGAGACCCCATCGTGCACGTTTAGGCCACAGAATGTTGCAATCACTCATATTTCTTAAATGCAATGAAACACTTCTTTAAACTCCAATAATCAGTTAGTCATCTGGACAGTTTTTTTTTTTTTTTTTTTGTGGAAAGACTGACGTTTTGCCCTCCGGGGGCTGTCCTCTCCCCTGTCGACTCCTTCCAAAATGCAGCCACAGCCAAAGTGGGATTTTTTTGAAGTAGTTATGCATCGGGCAAACTTTGTGTTGCTTTGTATAGCTGCAACGTTGAAATTGATTAGCCTCGTGGTTTTCTTTCTGTAGTAGTTTTTGTTCACATTCCTGGCTGCCTGCAGTGCAGTTATTTCTCTGAAACTTTATGAATATGAATAAGCTACTAAGTTTTCTTGGGTGATTTTTATGATACTGTGTTTTTTTTTCTTAATGTGCCTTGGATCATACAATGGAAGATCCCCAAGCAAATACACAAGTCTAAATGAAAATTAAACAATTTTAGAAAGTAACTGACTTCAAGTTTCCAATTTAATCCTAAAGACTGCATTTATACTGCCCAATATTTCATGTTGACTTCAAGAGACCAAAAGAAGGTAAATGCATCTTGAGTTTTGTTTTATTAGGATCAAAATGGGTCACTTAAATTAGAGTTTAAATAAATTAAAGTAAGCATGCACAAGTTGTGTACAAAAGACATTGCAGTACAAAATTCATTTCACAAACAACACTGTTTAAAAACGTAAAAACATTACTGTCTGGTAAAATCATCAGTTTTGACACATTAAAAAGGCTCATAACTTTATAAAAATATTTTATAATAACATTTTATTTATTTGTTTATTTTATTTGTGGATTTGGTCTCGAATTGGTCTCGCCCTCCCTCGGTCTTGGTCTTGTCTTGGTCTCGGACTTTAAAAGTCTTGGTCTTGTCTTGGTCTCGGACCCTAAAAGTCTTGGTCTTGTCTCGGTCTCGGTACACTCTGGTCTTGACTTGTCTTGGTCTCGGGTTAGGTGGTCTTGACCACAACACTACTGATATCTGAATCTTTCTCCCCCGTGCAGGCCTTGGAAGGCTGATTTTCCCAATTTCTCCTGGAAGTTATGGAAACAAGATGGTCTGAGAAGATACAGAAGTTCACCAAGTTTCAAAATATCGGTCCCAAAATGGCTTAGGGCTCAGGTTGTAAAATATTCTAAGGGGCGCTGTGGAGGCTATTGGCCAATTATTATGGATTCCTGTTCAAGGAGTGGATAATGATTGATCATACTGATTTTGGTGCACATCAGTTCCAATCTGTGGAATTTAGAGCCAAATGTAGGGCGACGACGTTACATCTTACTTTGCCACGTCGTGACACCTACATGCCCTACCCAAAACTGTCAATGTTGGAAAGCAAGTTACACCAACATGTCTTCGGCCATTGGACACACTATCATGCTGATTAGGTAACAGAGGTCAGGTAGGGCCCGTTCAATGTAAAACTTTACATTTCCTGTTGTCATAGGGCATGGCTTAATTGATATCATGATTTGACCATTCAGTCTTGCAGGGGACGGGATGTGGATCAATCACTGAAGGTTTGATGTCACAGACAGTTTTTATGTTGGAGCTATTAGCGTTTCGATTTTCATGGCGAGATGTCACACTTTGAGGTCTGGCCCCACCCCTTCAGCATGCTCTGAAATGAACCGTTTAGATAACTTTTTGTCCCCAATGCCTTTTGAACAAACTGGCCAAGATTGAAACTGATTGAGCGAAATCCCTAGGACGAGTTCGTTCAAATGCGGAGGCTGTAAACTTTCAAAAAGGTGTGAAATTTGGGATGTCATTCCAAAATGGCCACCTTCCTGTTTATTGTATAATGTTGGTGCCAGAGAGTTTTCTGTGTATCTTGTGGAATTGGACAAGTGTCCCAAATTTCATGTTTCTACGACAAACTAAGGTTAATGTGGAGGGTATTTTGAATATTTCCAGGTGCGCTCTTGAGCCGTTTCTTTTACATTTGCGACACCCTTAAAATACATAATTTTTCAGCAGTCCTGATGCGTCCGCCAAATTTGGTGAGCTTTGGGATATGTTAAGGCCCCCAAAAGGCCAATTTATTTACCAAAAAAATTGTAGCTCGGGACTGAACAGAGCAAATATAATAGGCCTTCGCAGCACTTCGCTGCTCTGGCCTAATTATTGACAGCAATAACTGCATGTAGAAACACTGTGATTAGACAGTAAAGACAACAGCAGATTAAGGAGATGTGGTCATTTTGTCATCCAACAGTCTAAGCATATTGCAGAAAAACTAAGGGATAGCTCAGGAAACCCAAGACGACACTATAAGATTCATTAAAAATGTAAGTATTCAGTCTCGTCTTATAGACAGTCAATCTGTAATGACAGAAAGATGAGTCTGGTGTGATCAGTTAGAGCTCAAAATATGTGATGGGGCTGTTTCAGCTACTAATGCATTACATTTTACTTCAATATTTGTCAAAATTACTGAATAATAAACTTTTTGTGTTGAATAATGTTGCTTAGTTGTTGCCATCTGCAGGGGCGAATCTGACTTTTAGGGGTGCTCAGCCCCCAGTGCTGATAATGGCTCTTGGCTTGGAACAGTGCAGTGTCCATTGGCGTCAGAAGCATTTTTAATGTGTGGGGGGACACACACTGGTGGGGGGTCTGGGGGGGTCCTCATCCATAAAGTTTTGAATAAAGTAGATGACATTTCCTCAATTTTCGTGTATTTCTATGGGTTGTTAAACATCTACGTTTACCTACAGAAGTAAACACTTGATTCAGGTTCAGGTCGACACAGGTCTCTTGTAAATGAGGCCTCAAGACTCAATGAGGCTAACTTGTATGAATAAAGGTTAAAATAATTCAATATTTTAGAGAGCAGTGAGAGGAAATAGCTCCACATTAATAGAGAATGGGTGTGACGTCAGCTGACATGAGAAATGCAATGCATTACTGGTACAGAGGACGCAGAAGTTTAGGGCCATGAAAGGCGCTGTGCGATTTTGTTTACATTATCATATGTGAAATCACAAAGAAATGGTGAAAGCTTGCTGTGTTATCAACTGCAACAATTGTTCTCATGATCGTAGGGGGAAACATCTCGCAAATGGAGTGAGTTTTTTCAGCTTTTCAGCTTGGAAACAACACAGGTCACCGCGCTAACAAATAGACGTTGCTTGGCATGGGTTTCAGCTGTAAGATGAAAAACATCACTTTCAGTAATGTTTTCCGACACGTTTGTGTGTTCACGGCATTTTCACAAAGGTAAGGATGCATCAAATCATGTTTCAATCCTATGTGGTGATTGATTAATGTGCATATGTTGATTAGAGTTGTTGACCTCAGGAGAAACAGGAACTGGTCCAACTCTATTTCCATCATGGGAGAAGAAGTGGAGGTGGTGTAGAAGTATAAATATCTTGGGGTTCACCTGGACAACAGACTGGACTGGAAATGCAACAGTGAAGCTGACAGAACAGAATGTACTTCTTGAGGAAGCTGAAGTCCTTCAATGTTTGCAGCAAGATGCTGCATATCTTTTATAAGTCTGTTGTAGAGAGTGTTATCTCTTTTGCCATCATCTGCTGGGGTGGCAGCACCAGAGCAAGTGACTTAAAAAAGATCAACAAGCTCAAAAAGAAGGCTGGTTCAGTTCTACATACATACATACATACATACACATGAATATACATTCATATACATATCTATATATCTATATATCTACATATAAAGCCTACATAAGCATCCCTGCATCTATTTGTGTGTGGTTGTGAGCATGCATAAGTGTATAAGGCTTCTCTAATAGAACATTTAATTGTAACTGTGAAGCAACAGAGACCCGACCACCAAGACCAGAGGCAGACGAAAAAGGGGGGACCAGAGCCCAAGACCCCAGGAGGGACCCCGACCGCGGAGCCCCCAGGGCCACCCATACAGGACGAACCACTCACCCACCCCCCAGATCGGACCACAGGGGAGAACCGGAAGATCCCCACCAGCGACCACATGCAGTGACTCCCCGGGGCCAACAGCGACATACTCATAGGCCCCCGCCGGAACCCGCCGCACCGATGCAGTTCCAGGCCCGGGCACCGAGGCCCGGGCACCGAGGCCCGGGCACCGAGGACGCACACCACCCAGGCCAAGGCCTGACAGGGCCAGAGGACCAGAGCCCCACCAGGCAGACACCAGGCCGAGCCGACACACGCCCAAGCGCCCATCCCCCAACACCAAGGGCCCCAAGCACGCCGGCAGGCAAGGGCACATCGCCAAGCACCCCCAGTTGTATCAAAGAGGGGCAGTCCGAGTCTCGGCCTAACAAATACCCATTCATACACAGACACAATCACACAGTCCCAGCCTCATTCTCACACTCACTCACTCAAAGCCATACAATAACGATACATTTCATTCTTATTCCCGATACGCACTCTATACCCCCCAGGTCCAAGACATGTACCCGCCCTCTACAGGGGGCAGCCCATGCCCAAACCCAGGAGGTAGACCCATTCATTCTCGAGCGAAGAGGAGCCAATATCCCAGACCCGGCCCAGGCCACGCCCAGCCAACAGGACACCCCCCGGCACGAAGAGGTCACGTTACCGACCACCCCCACACACCGCCAACAACAAAAATAGCAAATAGCGCAGGTGAAAGTGGACATCCCTGCCTGGTCCCCCTCTGTAAACAGAAGCTTGAAGAGATTTGATTATTTGTCCTGACACATGCTCTTGATGAGCTATATAATATTCTTAACCAATTAATGAAATGGTCCCCAAAACCAAATTTACCCACGGATGCAAATAAAAATTTCCAGTTTACCCAATCAAATGCTTTTTCTGCATCCAAAGACAAAATAGCTGTTTCAACATTTTTACCATATGAATACTCTATTAAAGTATATAATCTGCGTGTGTTTGTGGTCGAGTGTCTTCCTTTTATGAATCCAGTTTGGTCCGGAAGAATAATGAGAGGAATTATTTTCTCCAATCTTTTAGAGAGTATTTTACTAATTATTTTAACATCCACATTAATAAGAGAGATGGGGCGATAACTGGTAGGTAGTACTGGGTCTTT